GTCACTGGTAAACCATGTCCACATGCATTGGCTGTGATTACCAGCATGAGGCAACCTAACATGGGATCATTTGTGGATAGCTACTACTTAGTGCACAAATTTCAAGCAGCCTATGCAGGCATAATTTCTAACATCACTGATAGGAATCAGTGGCCTAAGGTGGACAAGGGCTTCAAACTTCACTCTCCATGCCAGAAGAAGAGAGAAGCAGGTAGATTGAGGAAGAATAGGATTAAACCAGTAAGGGAGATAGGTGACAAAGCCACTAGGCAAGTTAGGTGCCCTAACTATAAAGAATATGGTCACAGGGCTGGTAGCTGGAAGTGCTCCCTCACTAGAACCAAGAAAAGGTGCCTTCTCTGTTCTTTTATGTCTTCTGTTAATTTATATAGTTTTGCAATTCTTAAATCATACCATATCATTTGTAGGAAGAGAACAAATAAGACCAATGTCAAGGTTGGGAGGAAGAAGGCCAAGAAAGCTACTGGTGGTGATGAAGCCATGGGAACTCTAAGGACAAGAGGGGCATTGGCAAGGGAAGCAGCAGAAAAAGCCAAGAGAGAGGCAGCAGCAGCAGCAGAACTGAAGGCAGCAGCAGCAAGAGTGAAAGGTCCTTGTGTGGTTTTGGTAATTGAGTGACAACCCTGGTGGACTAATTGTGTTTATATGAGATACACAGGTGATCAGTCCACATGTACATATGTGTGAGCAACATATGCCATGGAGGTGGAAATGGCTCGAAGATGTTGCAAAGCTCACACATGTGATGATGAAGGAGCTTATTGCACATGAGACATGGCATTGAGTCATGTGATCAAGGTAAAGAAGATCAAGACAAGACTTGGCTTGATGAACCGGTTGCAAGCGTGAAGGGTAAGTTGAAGGCTTTGGAGCGATGGACCAGCGTGGCGGTGAAGCTTAAGCAAGACTTGGCGCCGATGGACGAAGGCAACGGTGAAAAGCAAGTGAAGTCAAGATCGATGAACCAATATGATCACGTGATGATATGAAGTGGATCATATCATTGTTGATCATGTTGGTGCATGTGTTGCATTGACATTGGAGGAGATGGAATGGAATGCGCAAGGCAAAGGTATAACCTAGGGCATTTTATTTCACCGGTCATAGGTGTGTAGAAAAGTTTATGACCGGGTTTAGGATAGATGGCCATACTATCAAGAGGGGCAAACTTGTTTGCATATCGGTCATCTAGTGCCACTCGAGTGATCTAACTTTGCATCATCGCTAGGATCGAGTGGCATGGCAAGTTGAGTGGCTAATGCTTTGGGAAATGTTTGTGAAAAGCTAACACACATACACATGGTGGCGTACACTTGGTGGTGTTGGCACATTTGCAAAGGAGAAGTTAGAGTTGATGTGGATCAACTCGGTGGAGAAACGGAGGTGAAAGGTGTTACATATTGTGTTTAGCACTTGGGAGCAAGGGCTCAAAACTTCACCGGCGGAGTGTCCGCCCGTAGAGTGCGAACAGTTCGACGGTGCCACCGGTGCCCTGTACAGAAAAGACAGGGTCTCACAGAGTGCACCGGATACTGGTCACGCAGTGACCGGACGCTGGGTCCTATGTTCGATCAGTGGCAGCAGCGAACATGTGGTCTCGGTCTTGTGACCGGACGCTCAGGGTCTGCGTCTGGTCAGTGCTGACATTTGGTGATGTAGGCGGTGCTGGTGTTAGGCGCGTAGGCACAGAACTGATCGGACGCTGGTCTGCATCCGGTCATGGTGGACCGGACGCGTCCGGTCACAAAATAGAGGCTCGGGGAGCTCTCTGGAAACGACCGGACTCAGGCATAGCAGCGTCCGGTCATTCATGGTGCTGCGCCCGGTCGAAACTTAACCGTTGAGATCGGGCGCTCAGTATTTAAAGCAGGTGCCACGTGGCATGCATCAAGCGACCGGGCGCTGGGGTCCTACGTCCGGTCGATATGACCAGAGCGTCCGGTCACCCTGAGCTATGCTCAGTGAAGGGGTATAACGGCTCTATTTTCGTGGGGGCTATAAACAGAAGGAGGTCTCGGCCTTGGGCTATATGCTGATTACACTAGAGCCTTGGTGGCTTATGTGGTGGTGCTTGGGAGCCCTCCAACTCACTCTAGCTTGATAGTGTTCATCCGATTGAGTGAGTGAGCGATTCTAGTGCGATTGCATCGTAAGGTTGCATCGAGTGGCACTAGGTGGTCGTGTTGCAATCCGGTGGTGCTTGTTACTCTTGGAGGTTGCCACCTCCTAGACGACTTGGTGGTGGTCTCCGTCCAAGCCCGCAAGAAGCTTGTGCGGTGCTCCGGAGAAGAGCTTTGTGAGGGGCATTGTGCTCGCCCTGCGGGAGCTGCGAAGAGCAACTCTAGTAGAGCGTGTCATTGAGCTACCTTCACTTTTGAGGTAGGTTTTTGTGGTGCCCGACGTGCAGGCTTGGCGGGTGATGCCAATTAGCCACCGAACCACCAAGTGAGTGGTCGACACAACGGGGACTAGCGTTTTGTCAAGCACGTGAACCTCGGGAGAAAAATCACCGTGTCAACTTTGTTCTTCCCGTTGGTTTGCATCCTCGTTACACAAGCTTGTAATTACTTTCATATACATTGTGCTTGTGTAGTTGCTCTTGTAATTAGTTAGCTTGTGTAGCTCACTAGTAACCTTCTTGCTTGTGTAGCATAGAAGTAGCTCCCTTGCGTGGCTAATTTGGTTTGTGTAACCTTATTAGTCACATTGCTTAGTCTATGTAGCTAAGTAATTGCGCTCTCTAATTTGGCATTGGTTGCCTTGTTATTGAGCATTGCTAGTGAGCTTAGGTGGCTCTGTGCTTTTGCTTACTAGTATGTGTAGGAGCTCTCCGTTGCTTAAAAGTACTAGTGGCATAGGTTTGTGTGACCTTGCTTCTTGAATTGGATAAGTGAGCTCTAGCTAGCCTGGCACATTTGTTGCATAATTAGGATCTTTATAAAGTGTTTATGAACTTTGATAGAGGGGTATAGTCTTGGCTAGATCGATTATTTTAATTCCACAATTAGTTTCGGTTAGCCGGCGCGATTAAGTTTTAGAAACGACTATTCACCCCCTCCCCCTCTAGTCGTCATCTCGACCTTACAAAGGGTTGCAGCAGAAGCAGAAGCTAAGGCTCAGCAAGAAGTCCTGGAAGTAATGGCCTTAGAAGTTCATGTCCTAGAAACATCTACACCAGCTAGAAGGTATTGTTGTTCTCTCATTTGTTAATTGCAGCTGTTAATTTGACCTGTTAATTGCAGCTGTTAATTTCCCACAGGACATTATTCCCTGAAAATGAACTGGAAATTGAGCCTGCCAAGAAAATGACACCTAGGAAGTAGCAGTTGGCAACTAAAGTGATACTTAAGAAGAAAGGAGGCAAGGACAAGTGAGCCTGGCTGGTGTTGTTATGCTAGGACCATGAACTTTGGGAACTTTTGTGTAATATAATTGGCCAAAAACATGTCTTTTGCGTGGCCTTCTGCAGTATGTAATGAAATGGACACAAAACAATCAGCATGTAATGCCCCATATTATGTGTAATGTTTAGGGTAATGGGCAAAGGCCAAAAAACTCTATAAGTAATGGCCAGAATTTGCCCCTGATGGGTTGTGACAAACAACTAAGTGACACAATGTGCCCCCTATCTGATCATGTGTTCTACTAGTGCCTCTGTGTGTCTCAAATTTTTTTTGCTTGACCACAATGTGCCTTCACTGCCATATGTGTTGTGCTAGTTATTGAAAAAACATTGACAATTGTAAATGCTCATTCATTGAAATAAAATGGACATGACAGATTCATTGAAACATCGGGTTCATTTACTTGTCAAACACATTCCTACATGAGGCCATTACAATGGATTTGACTAAAACACCAAATACAACAATTGCAAGACAAACGATGAAACAATTCATTTTTCACATCATTTTCTCTAACTTTTTCTCCAGGTCCTTCATACCCTCATCTTTGACAGTTTCAGCACCATCTGTTCCTTTTTCCAGTTCCTCAATCTCCTCAATCTCCTCACGCTGACCCTGATGATCTTCTTATGAACCAACCCATCAAAATACTCCTTCTGGAACCTATAGAAGCCACATAACTTCGGATTCTGCAAAGAAAAATTCAAAACACTTAAACCCTAGATTTTAACTCAACCAAACAATGAAAAAAAGCACAAACACCATAACAAACCCTATTTCTTGGGCATTTGAAGAAGCTGCGCCCCCAGTTGGTAGAGTCCTGCTTGATGACGCGAAGCTTGATCACACGGGCCACGAACAATCGGGGCACATAATCAAAGGAAGCCCAGTTTCTTTACCCACCGGATACACCAACGACTAGGCGAGCATGGAGCTTACGCCTCTTTCCTACCTCCTAGATGCCCCACTCGCGCCGGATGACTCCGCCCTCTGTGATAGCTTCGGAAGGCGCTAGGACCGCGGGATGAGAGGAGGCGGTGGCGGGCTGGGGAAGAAGGCGTCGGCGGCAGGGGAGCGAAATGAGAGAGGGAGAAGGCGAGGGCGGGCCCGGCGCGGCGTAGTGAAGAAATGGCCAGGGGCAGCGATGTCTCTTTGCATGCCCTGCTGACTGTGTGCCAGTGTGTCAGGCCGCCGTGGCGTGCCACATGCGCAAATGTGGTAAAATCAAATTTCAAACTTCTCTCATCTGCTAAATTTGTAATTTTGATCGTAACAACGAGAAACGGACCTATAATGGAATGTAAATTCCTCCGGCAACACCAACGCTAGCTGCTGGCTGCAGTTGAAGTTGCAGAGGGTCCCCACACACCCGGGATCGGACGGTCCACGCTGCTCGGGGCCCACCCCGACTATTCGAGCTTCGAAGCGGCGATGCAGGACAGCAGGAGTGAGCTCACTGCTCACCATGTCACCACACTCTTGCGGGCGCGGGGAGCTTATAAAGCTCAGCGCGCGCGGCGCCGACTCCCTCCCTCCTCTCCCTCGCCAGGCGCATGCGCACGCCCACGACACGCCATGGACGCCGCGCGAGCTCGAGCTCCTCTTCCTCCGTCGCTGGCGTGGCTCGCTTTCCTGTTGATCCTCGTTCTAGCGACGACGCCCGGGGTCGGCGCGGCATCGACAGCGGCGCCCGCGAGCGAGGCGGCCGCGGGGTTTGACTGCGGCGGCGCGGCGGCGGCGGCGATCAAGGAGGACGACACGCGCGGGGCGCTGCGGCTCAAGCTCGTGGCTGCGGCGTCCATCCTGGCGTCGGGCGCGGCGGGGGTGCTGGTCCCGCTCCTGGGCCGCTCCGCCTCCGCGCTGCGCCCCGACGGGGACGTCTTCTTTGCCGTCAAGTCGTTCGCCGCGGGGGTCATCCTCGCCACCGGCATGGTGCACATCCTGCCCGCGGCCTTCGACGCGCTCGCGCCCTCCTCCTGCGGCGGTGGCGCCAACAAGGCCGACGGCGGGTCCTTCCCCTACGCCGGGCTCGTCGCCATGTGCTCTGCCATGGTCACCATGATGGTCGACTCCGTCGCCGCGGGCTACTACCAGCGCTCGCACTTCAAAAAGGCGCGCCCCGTAGATGACGCCGCCGCCGACGCGGCGCCCGGTGGGGACGAGGAGGGCGCCGCCGGGCACGCGGGCCACGTGCACGTGCACACGCACGCGACGCATGGCCACGCGCACGGCCAAGCCCACGATCACGGAGGACACGGCCACGCCGGCCCGGCCTCGCCTCAGGATGCCTCCTCCGTCGCCGTGTCCATCAGGCACAGGGTGATTTCTCAGGTGAACACCTTCCCTTCCCTCAATAGCGGTTCAGAACTTCAGATTTTTTTTTAAAAAAAAGATGCCACTCCTCTTTTCATATTTTAATGAAAAACACAAGAGTGAAAAAAAAATCTGGTGAAAGTTTCCAATAATCTGGCATGCTAATCATTCAAACATTCCAACTTCGACTGAGACAGGATATATATTAAACAAAAAGATATGCCATGCCATGCCACGAATGAAGATACAAAAAAACGTGTCCTTTTCCCTAAACACAATCCATCAATACCTACTTTGAATCTAGTAGGACTGTAGGAGTGAACACAATGATAATAAGAAATAATACGTGTCATCTGTCTATAACAAGATGCTCTGATAAATGACAGTAGTAGTTGTTAGCAGTCAAAACTCAAAACTGATTGATTGGGCTGATTGAAACACTACTCTGAATACGAACAGAGTAAAAGAGGCACTACTACTTAGCATAGTGCAGTAGTCCTCATTCTCTACCGTACAAAAGCTCATGTTCTTGGGCTGATTGATTGGAATTGGAATTCAAATCAGTGCTCGTGAATGAAAGAGACAAATCAGTGCATAGCTCTAGCAGTACCCATAGGCTTGTGTACTGTCTCCGTCCGAGGAAGGGGACGCTGTCCCCGCCGTTGGTGCTAAAGGCAGAGAATCCTGCTGCAGACAAGTGGAACAGAACAATGCCTTCTTCTTCTTCCCCAGCCTCACAGTCAAGCCCCCCCTTTGCAGATTCTTCAGCCAACATGGTAGGAGTATTACTCAATCAATAACCATAAGTGAAACTTTGGTGCAGGTTCTGGAGCTGGGAATCCTGGTGCACTCGGTGATCATCGGCGTGTCCCTGGGCGCCTCGCTGAGGCCGTCCACCATCAGGCCCCTCGTTGGAGCTCTCAGCTTCCACCAGTTCTTCGAGGGCATAGGCCTTGGCGGCTGCATTGTTCAGGTATGTAACCTTCTCTGTTTACACTTCACACTGAAGTGAAGAGTGACCATCATTCAGGGAAAGAAATTTAGATGCTTATTAATCAGATACTGAAGGACGCATAGATGGCATGACAGCCATAGGAGGGGATGCCCCACTAACGAAAATGCACAAAAGGTGACAAATAGACAGAGATATTTGTAGTGAAGAGGTTGGGCTTATCTTATCACTACTCACTAGTGACATTGTACCAAGTGAGGAGAGGACCAAGAAGTAGGACCATCAATCATTGACACAATCATGGTTCATAACTCCTAACTGAACAGATACTGCCATTTTCTCCGCATCAGCTTCACGTGCTAACAGTAACAGGTCAAGGGTAACTGAAATTGTTCAGTTTGACGGTGGCTTTTATTGGGTGGGTTTTCAGTGGAACTGGTCAGTGACTCGGACACCTTTCATTTTAGGTGCCGATTGAAACGAGCAAATCAGATTTAACCTGTACCTTAACTGGAATCTTATGTTCCAGATTTGCGGCAGAACTATGACGCAAGCTTGAACCCCTTCAATCTTCATCACTCACTAAACAGAAATGAAAAAAAAAGAACAAATTCAAACTTGTTATACTAGCGTAACTAATTATAACTTCTTATCACTCCAGGCAAAGTTCAAGGCGAGAGCGACCGTGATCATGGCGACCTTCTTCTCCCTCACCGCTCCCATGGGCATCGCGCTGGGGATCGCCATCACTTCCAGCTACAGCAAGCACAGCGCCACCGCCCTCGTCGTCGAGGGGGTCTTCAACGCAGCTGCAGCAGGGATTCTGATCTATATGTCCCTGGTCGATCTCCTAGCAGCAGATTTCAGCAACCCAAGGCTGCAAACAAACATGAAGCTTCAGCTGGCAACGTACATCGCTCTTTTCCTCGGTGCAGGGCTCATGTCATTGCTCGCCAAATGGGCATAGATAGCCAGACACATCTTCAGAGATGCTGAGGCGGACTGTAATTCTCCGCATTGTCGCCGCTAAGGACCCCGGATGCAGTTTATGGCCAGCGGGGTATATTTTCTCGTAACCACTACACATCAATTTCTGTAGAATCTCCATCAACCAGAATTTTGGTGCACAGAGAGGTGAGAAAGAAGGCCTGGATGTGACCAAGTTCTAGAGTTGAAGGACATTGCTAGAGAAGTCAAAATGTGAATCTTGCATAATGGTGTGCTCCCATGAGGATGCCAACCAAATAGGTGTAGTAATATACAAGAATGAAGTGGTGGTGGAGAATAGTTGTTCTTGAATCATCTTTGGGGCTAAATATCTGTAGAAGGGAAGACTTCATTTCCTTTTGGAGGGAACGGCAATGTATATAATTGTTATCCCGGTTCCTCCTTTCTGCTGGATCAAACTTCCATGGAAATTTGTTCATTGAAGAATCAGTTTAAGCCCAAGAATGGTACTATTCCTCTGATAGGTGTGACTGTTGATTGAGAAAGTGAAATTTGAATTGAAGATTTCTTTCCTTCAACCTTCATATTTCCTAGATAGAAGTGATTTAAAGTTGAAGAATTCAAACCTCGGCTTCAAACTTTTCCATACAATAATTATTGTACCTTTTGTGGCTGTCATGTTGGCTCTGTCCTCCAGGAAAATGTCAGGTTCCACACATGATGCCCTTGTACGAAGGTACTGAGAGTTTAAGTTGTTATGGAAAATGACAGGTTCCAAACATATGCCCTTGGTAGAACCTGAAACACGGCACTGAGAGTTTAAGTTGTTATTACACTACACCGAAAGGTTTGATTTGATTGTGCATCGTTAGCGGTATGATGCTGTATTACGTAGACATTTAGCCGTTGACAGGTATGTCGTTGATGCATAGATTCCATTCTCTGCTGAATTGACTGAAGAAGTGAATATGTGCAAAGGGAGTTGGGGGCCGTCCAAGGAGATACGCAGAACCTGAGGAAGAGGCAACTGGCGTGGGCTGCCTGCCTCCTTGCAGAGCCAATGGTTATTAACAGAGGTGAACAGAAGAGGATGCTTCCGCACATTTTTAATCTGCTTTTGCCAGAACTTTTTCCCCCTTGGAGCGAAACTTTTGCAAGATTTGAATCCGTACGTAACGCCTCTCTCAAGATGTTGTTGGTTTTCCAGTTGGCGTCCACTAAATTCCGTGTTTTACGACACTGGAATCTTGCCGGAGCCGGCCTAACGTGGAACAGTGCACTCCAAGCAATAAACAAAGAAGATGAACAGAGTCGGAGGGTGTTTGCATCGAGAGGATACTAATGAAAAAACAAATTATACAATCCGTCACTAATTCGCGAAACGGATTTATTAAGCCTAATTAATCCATCATTAGCATATATTTACTGTAACATCACGTTGTCGAATCATGGACTAATTAGGCTTAAAAAATTCGTCCCGCAAAACAGTCTCAATCTGTGCATTTAGTTTCATAAATAGTCTATATTTAATACTCAATACATGTGTAGAGTCCGAGTTTCGTAAAACAGTCAAAACAGGATGCTTCCTAGTTGGGCTGGTGGATTCTGAGTTTTGTTTGGTTCAGGTGGCCTACGTGTCTATACCTGTGGCCTTCGGCCTTGTACTGGGTAGATTAGATTGTATTTTATTGTGGAGTTTGTTCCCCATCGAGCCGCCGCTCGAGAAACCCTAGACGGTGATCCCATCAGATTCTTCGTATTGAAAATTATCTCTGGATGATGATCTCGTTCTGTACTTCATGGTGGCTGTTTTTTTGGCGTGCCATGTCAGATCTATTCGCTAAACGAAGGGGTATGGACCTACGGTGAACCAGTTAAAAAGTTTAGGGACCTAAAAATGCAATTTAAAAGTTGATGGACCTAGATGACACATTACCAAAAGTTAATAGACCCAAAAATGAAGTTTAAAAGTTGATGGGCCTAGATGACACACCACCAAAAGTTAATAGACAAAAAAATACAGTTTAAAAGTTGATGGACCTAGATAACACGGCACCAAAGTTAATGGACCTACGGTGCATTTATCTCTCTCTCTTAGTAAGGAGTTACTGTAATCTCGTAAATTAGAATAGTAATTGTCGTAACTCAAAATAGCCACAGAATAAATTATTTTATGGCTAGCTGCAGAATAGTATGTATGTATATGTGTGTGTGTATATATATATATATATATATATATATATATATATATATATATATATATATATATATATATATATTATGTCTAGAATATAACTCTTTACTGTGTGTCTAGAAAAAAACAAAACAATTTTGAATACAAAAACGTGGAGAGTACTCACTTGTTGCCAACGAGCCAGCGCACACAAGAAGGGGCTGGTATGGAAAAGTCAAATTTGCTGATGTCATGGCTTTTATGAAACTAAACAAATATGTTTATAAACTAAGCATCTAAATCGAATTTTCATTTTACAATATTGTTTTTATAATAAATGCTTTGAAATAAGACCATACTAGACGTATTTAGATAAAATTTTATTAAAAGAATCCCCATAAAGATAGAACATTTTATTTTATTTCATTTGTTATGCACGAATATGGTTCTAGGGTTAATGTTTTACCTTTATAAGAAAAATGGTCTAACTTTAGGCAGAAGAATAATATTCCATAGTTAGGTGAATAAAATTCTAGGTTCAAGCTATTAACATTCCATCGAGTAGTAGAAAAAAAAATAGACATATCATAGATATCAGGGAAAAATTGAGATATCTGTCAAATATCCCACGAATCTGCACGAACAAGAACAACCTATTGTATGAACAATCAAGAACACACCATAGAACATTTAACGGATACCATATGAACTTTGCAAAATACATAATGTATGGGATATGAATAATGTGAAAATAGTTTAGAATACGTCATGGAACAACTCAAATATACCATGCAAATATTTCAGAATTCATCATGGAGTATCTCATAATAATAAATAATATAAATATAATATGCAACAATTCTGAATGTACCTTATAAATATGATAGCAAAATAGCTAACTTTGATCAGAATATACTTATCTTGGCTACACCTAGCAAGAAAAGCACCATACAGAAAGGATGGTCGACACCTTACTCATGTCCGACTAGTCGAACTCAAAGATTGACAAGAGACACTGGAGCTACGACACACGGATTACACAACACGACTTGCTTGCAGAGCAACTAATAATACTGCAAGTGCACAATCTTGTCCTTATTATCGTCTCTGAAAGGCTGAGACTGAGCCGATACCAGTGAAAGATCAACGTCATTAAATCTTTAAATACGTGAATCCACGTCAAGTGGAGGACTTAAATCGAGATGAACATGTTTCACTATAAAAAAAAAACTGACCAGCTGAGCTACCATAAATTCACAATGTAACTACATAAAATGTGCACAACTACTGACAAATGCGTGCAACTAGCTAGGTTGGAGAACGTCGTTGTACACAACATGACCAAACTGCGCATGCATGTTACTACGCAAACAAGCAGAGCTACAGAATATCTTCTTTATTTTGCCCTTGAATAGGATTATTACAACGGCCAGTGTACCTAGAACCAAAGACGGCACAGAGGTAGGAAAACGTCGACGACATACACACGGCCATGAACATGATGAAGTTGCACATATATAGCAATTAGTTGCACCTAATAATGTTTTACAGCAATGCAAAATGCAATGCAAGTGTGTAAGAAAGACTCAGGAGCCGTCTGGTGGGTGGGCACGGGCACGGTGCCGTGTTGACACCATGTCGTCATCCACCCCTCTCCGGCATATATATTTATGCGGCTCATTCTAGCAGCTAGGCAGCCGTTCCGTTCGTTGCCCACTTTCCCCTCTTGCCTTTAAGCTGCACGGACCACGGTATGGGCCGGGGCAACGCCAATTTCCAGTTCCAACCGCCAGTTTTGTTTTATTTATTTATTTATTTATTTATTTCATTTTAGGTTTGGTGCCTGTCCGCTTCGGAACACCTGGGCTTGCTTCTCATCTCACGTCTGACGATGATTTCTAACCTTGTTTTCTTGGGAGCTAGTACTAATTACTTTAGGTCATTGTAATCCAAAATGCTAGGACTCTGCCAGGAATTCATGTTTCTTTCTCTCTACGAAAAGACAGTATCGATGATGTATATACTTACGAGCACACTCGCTTCTATACTTCCTAAGTTCTTTTTTATATGTCATATTAGCTTTGTCCTAAGTTAAACATTTTTTTTATCTTCAATCATCAATTTAAGAGCGGGTTCAAACTAGAACCATTTCGAACCAGTCATAACCTAGTTAGAACTAGATCAGCATCGATCAACTAGTTCCAACTAGACCCATTTTAAACTAGGCATAACTTAGTTCCAACCATATCTGGTTGATAACAATTTCAACCATGCTAGATCTAGACAAAAACTTCCAACTTCAACCAGACCCGATTCGAACAAGTCAGAACCTAGTTCCAACAAAGACACAGCAACAACCCATTCCAACCACACCTAGTTTCAAGTTATAGCAAGTTATTATAGCCAAGATGACAACATGCCAGACCCAAATAAAAAGCAAGGTATTATAACTCGTTTAATCCGGTTCTGATTGTTGTAATTGTTGAACTCGCATTTTATAGTGTCGCCACGATACTATCTCCATATATAACCCACTGTTCCCAAAAAAAAGTAAGTTACAGTGAGCTGCAAATAACATCTCCCATATATACACACACTTTTTTCTTTGTAAAACACAATGCAGACTCAAACACTCACATACATCCATGCTTTATGTGCACCTTCGAAAGACTTGGTTAGCCGGCAGATCTCGAGATCGATGAAGTCAATACAATCGCCTTGCTATTAATGGGTACGTCACCTACACTGTTAAACCCTATAATAAATCTAGAAGAATATAAGCACTCACGTCAAGCCTAAGATCTTGAACCCGGATAATGAGAGTCTAACATAGGAGTATGTTAAGT